TCATTCTTGAAAGCGCCCAGCAGTTCCTCATTGATCGTCAGTCCATCTTTGGAAATGACCTCATCAGTTTGCCTGAAAGTTCATCGCTTTACGTTCCATCTGAAAACGTGGCTTCCTACCTGTCCACTGTGGGTGTCCAGGGGGATATCCCATTAAACCTGAGCTCCTCGACCGACAACAACCAGTGATTTAACTTCCAAGAAGCATCATCTCCCTCACACCCATCCAGGCATCCGCAGATTTGAATGTAACGAAACGCAAGTGACTCAGAAACCTGCAAGAGTTTCTTTTTGTGCCCTTTCTTTTTTTGAGTACTTGGAAATGGTTGGTAGCTGTTGCATCTGTGCCCGAATTTCAGTGTTTGCCCAGGGTAACAATTTTAACACAAAGTGCTGCTTCTGGTGTTTGCTCCTACGAGGAGTGAGAACTTGGCAGGATTTTTTTTTTTTTTCTAGAAAACATTTTTAGAAATTTCAAATCTAATAAAATTTAAGTGAGGAGTAGCTTGAAAATACATCAGGGACTTCATAAAATAAAGTGATCCTGACTAGTGGCTGCAATGGGAAGCTGTTAGATTTTGAGGGGGCAGCACAGATAAGCTAAAATGCCTCACCTTTCTGGATGCGCTTTTTTAAACAAGAAAATAGTTCTATATGCCAGTCCAATGCTCTAAAAATACTCTTTTATCCATTTTCTGGTTTGGATGGAATGTACTTATGCCTCTTCCTCATCCTCCTAGGGCGAGTAGGAAAATGAAGATCTCTCGGTCGTTTTCTGACCTCTGAGAATGTGCCTCTGACTCTTGGGCGAGCTACAGACCATCACAGACCCCCAAACATCCCATGCTGAGTTAAGAGGGTTTGTTATTTGTTGTTTTGGTCTTTTTCCCAAATTTATTTTCTCTTACATAGAGGCAGGGCACTCCAATACTTTTTTTTTTCCAAAAAAATAACAATTTTTTTAAAAAAGGACAGACTGTCCTACACACACAATTTTCCACGTGCAGAGAGGACTGAGGGAACGCACTCTGGGTTTTGGTGCTGGTTGAGTGTTCTATATCCGGTCCAATGATATTTTTTTCCTTGGCCTTGAGCTGTTCTATTTCCCCTGAAGACCTGCCTGTTAGTTTATTGATGTACAAAATCTGATGAACCAGTTTGATTGATTTTTAGAAAGACTCTCAGCTGCTCAGCATAGGAGAGAGGCAAAAGGGTTAGTCCACCACATCCCACTGACTTTTCTTCTGTCCTTTGTGCATCGAGACCAGTCTCCAAAGTTTGAATTAATCTTCCTCTTCCATGTGGTTTTTGACACCTGAACTTCTCAACAAAGCAGAGCTTTGGTTTTTGTGCTGTAGTTCTAATGAGAACGTATTATTCACCTCAGTATCCTCTAATTGAGTTGTGTTTCCTTAGGAAAGCTACCCAAATGCAGTAAGACAGACCCAGGAAATTCACCTGACTCGGGCCTCCGAAGGGCTTGGACAGGGAGGTATGAGCAGTGCCAGTATCATTTGGAGAAATTCTCTGCTCGCTTCCATTGCTGTGATGATTCTTGGTTTTAAACCATATTTATGAACATCTTGAGTGGTCGAGTAGCATCTACCCCAAATTGTAGTCAATCAGACAAATGCAGGCTCAAACTCTCCTTAATAAGACGAGTGTGTTTTAAATGGACCTTCCTCTCCTCCATCCAGTTATCAGTATGTGAACAGATGTGTTAGTTCAGAAACCTTCGCTTTTGAGCTGGTTTTTCCCCAGGTAACTCCTGCGTGCTGGGAGCTCTGGCACCACCACCACCTCGGTGGTGCAGTTTTTGCAGGAGCAAGGTTGTGAGAGCTTCTGAATTAATTCCAGCCACCGTTTTCATGTTCGGGACTAAGGGAAAATTCTGGCATTCCCCATTGGCCTGGTCCTTAGATGACGTGCTTGAGTGTGTCATGGACAACGTTTTCCTTTTTGACAGACTTGTGCTGAGAAAGTTCACCTAGATCAGCCCTTTTACCACTGTATTTGTCATTTCCAGCCATGGGAAGTTGTTGAGTTGCACTCCATTTACTTCTTTTCTCACAGGTAATTGAAAACTGTCCGGTGTCTCCTGTCACCCGACAAAGTATGTTATCCCCAGTCGAGATTTACATCCTTCTCTGAACCTTCACACGCTAGATTTGCCTTGATGTTAACACTGAACGTTACCAATTGAAGCACGTGCTTATCTTTAAGCTCCTGAGTAGCTTTCCTGTATTTTCGTGAAGAGTATAAAGTGCTTGAGGTTGGACACACACTTCGGTGTCTTACTGGGTCGTCTAGTTGGGGTTGAGAAATGGAACCACCTTAGGAGAGCTGCCTGCAGGAGCCAGGGTGCCTGACACCCCCACCCGCGCGACCGACCGCACTCGCTGTGAGCAGCCCCTAGGGATGGGTCTTGGGCTTTTCTTTAGGCTTTTTTGCTCTACTGCAAACATGAGATTGGAGCTTGATGGTGAGAAAGGAACCTCCAGGAACCATATTCGAGAGCCGCTCCTGTGAAGAAGCAAGCTGGTGTTCCTTGGCTTTTTACATTGTTAATTTTACTTGAAGGTGATGTGCTGAGGCTGCGTTTTTGCACTATGCTGTACATTTGTAAAGTTTTACAGAAAACCGCTAATTAAATATGTTTCTTTTTTTTCTCATTTAGTCCTGCTCTGGCATTTCTCTACTTTTGCCTGCCCTTTACTGCTTTCTTACTCCTTCCCAAGTCCTCACCTCTAAGTGAGAACAGCTTCCAGGAATTCAGGAGATTCACCTGTGAGGTAGCACAGGGACCGCTGATGGGTTGTGATCATCCGTGTGAAAAAACAGGAGCTGGCAAGATCTAGGATGTAAAATACAGCTCAAAAAGCAGCTGAATTTTTCAAACTAAAATGCATCAGGGTAGGTAGATCTGGTAAAATCAGGATGAGCATAAAAGAATCTATAGTTCTTAAAATGACTTGATTTTTTTTATCATTCTATTTTTTTTCCTTGCATTCAGTGATAATAGAGCTCAAACTTCACTCTTGGAATTACTTAAATCTTTTGTTTATAAATATTCTTCCTTAATTGTGATGTGTTAATATGGTCCTTCCTGCTAATTTGTTCTTAAGCGTAATTAGGAGGTATCAGGACAGGCTCTAAACCACAGGACGAAAAAATTGCACAACTCCAAAAGCCTTCAGAGCAGTCCTTGTCCAGCTTTGGCAGAAAAAGGAAGCAGGTATTTTTTAGGACCAAGCTCACAGAGGCTGTTGGCAGTGTTTGTGGCTTCCTGAGGAGACAATTCAGGGTTTTTACAATTATTTTGTGTTACAGTTAGGGCCACGTCACCACCAGATGGCCCCTGAGCCCAGCTAACTGGAAATCTCTCTTTCAACAAGCCCATAGTAAATATTTTTTTTCTTTATGTGTACACATGTGCAAGACTTGTTCAATTCTATTTATTACAAATTATTGAAGATTAATCAAAACATGGAAAAAAGACATCCACCTAAACGTAGGTATGGCTTAATGAAGTGAGGTCAGTTAAAGCCTGGCTTACTCCTGATGTCGTAATTTTTTGTTGTATCATAAAAATGACGCCAGCCCTTGGAGATGAGGTAAACTCTTTAGTGTTGTGCTTCAACGGCACACAATGATTTTTTAACTGACAACTGCAGCTGCTTCTGCGTTAGGGAAACGAGAGCTGTTAACGCCTCAGCTCAGCTGGCCGAGAGTTGTCTGTTTCCCCAACTCTTTTTCTGCGGAGTCACAGAGGAAGCGCTGCTCTCAAGCCATCTCCACTTTCTTCAATTTTACTCTCTAGCTCAGAAGCTGGAGAAGAAACAAAAAAGAAATGATGAAGGAAAGAAGAGAGAATCTGGCTGAGGTATCACTGCGGTCGTCTTCCATTTCACTTTGGCACGAGGTGACCACCGTGACACTAAAGCAAGAAAAATTCCTTTGATCGGCTTTTTACACCAAAGCTGACATTCAGCCACTACTGATTGGCTGCTTATTTTTCTGTTCTATCTGAAATCCAGATCTTGAGAGACATCTCACCACGAAAAATGATGAAGATGGCAGATAGAAGTGTCTTCTTCATCACAGATTGCCCTAAAAGGCAAAAATGGATTTTCCATGCATGGACACTATTTCTGCATCTGTTTTTGCAAAAAAAATAATTAAAAAATCATAATGTCTATAAATATTAGATCCATAAAATACCATGTTAAGGAGCAATCTCCATTTCTCATTGAAGTCCATCTAGTAGGACACCTACTGCTAAGGAGAGGAGACAAAATATATATGGTTACAAGCAGAATCTTTATTTAGTTCAAATGACAGAAACACGCCGTATTACACATTGAAACTACGAATGTAGTGAAACCCTAAGATATAAACATTTAACTAAGTGATTTCTGGAAGGACGCAAAGGAAAAAATGACATAAGAGAGTGGAATATAACCTTAAAGCAGCAGTGGCCTCACTTTCAGAGTGGAGGGGGCTGCCGGCTGCCCCGCCGAGGCGGGGGCCGG